AAAAATCATCCAAAGTCTATTCTGTATGAGTATGGTGCTATCATCGCGTAGAATTGTATATGTGCTCATTGTTTAGCAATATACTCTAAGAGCCTTACAGTAATGTATGCTAAAAAACGCTTTACCAATGTGCGCTAACAGAGAGTGCTTTATTAGCATGAGCTAACAAAGGTGCTAATCCTTGTAATCGTGTAATAATATGCATATAAAGCCTGCAGATAGCAGAAGGACATTCTTCCTTTCTTTTATTCTCCAAATTGATGTCTTCGAAATTCATCTTGTGGCGATGTTTTTAGAATTAATGTTATGCTTTAATTTGTCTTTTGCAATTAATGATTATCCTATGTTAATAGCGTTTCTTTCAACTAATGGTTTAATTAGCTAAGTTTGACTTTGAGTCAGAAGTAAAGAAAATCTTGCACTTTTAGTGTCATGTTACCCAAAATACTTCCAAGGATACAAAATTTTCCAATTCATTTTCAATGAATACACATAATTTATGTAATTTGCAAATTAATTTACATAATTATTGAACTGTATAAAATATAAAGCTAAGCTAAAAATGAAAAAGCATTTCTTTTATTGCATTCATCAAGACTGCGTGTGATTCATTTGTTTTGTTTAATTGCCAATTAGTGAGAGGAAGAGTTTGAAAAGTATGAGTGATTTTGTCTCGTAATTTAAAATTACAATTTAATTCTAGTTTTTCAAATTTCCTTCCCTTATCATCTTCAATTTATCAGTATGCAAATTGTAAGCGGTAAAAGTAGCGCATGTAAATGTATGGTATGTAATTGAAAACTATGTTAAAGGTGGAAATACTTCAAATAGTTAAATGATGTCAAATCATTTCAAAAAGTATTTTGATAGAATAGGGACAGTTAAAAAAACAGAGTAAAAAAAATCAATATTGTTCATTGGAGGAACAGTTCAGAATTTAAATAATTATATCTGATCAAATATCAACAATGTATAAACGGATTTAAATTTAACTTATCAATGCAACCATACTGCATAAAAAGAAGATAAAGAAGAGGAAGAAGAAGAATCATCACAATATTTAAGAAATTTTTGTGGATAAAAGTTTAACCATAACTTAAAATATTGAAACTTGAAATGATATCAGAAATGCAAAAGTAAATTTAACATATTTGATAATTCGAGAAATCAATATTCGTTTGTAAAGTTTTATTAAAAAAACGACGTTTAATCGAATAATAAAAGATAATTTTTGGTTTAGAAGAAGCAAAAAAAAACAAGAAATAAGAAGGATATGAGTGATTATGAAATTTTGGATCCAGCTCAAAATGTGCCAAAGCCTGATGATGAGGCTGGACCACCTTCGACACCAATGTTATCCAGCGTAAACCAGTCACTTGTTGCTGCCGGTCCAGCAATTGGTGGAAGCAAAAGAGAAAACGAAAATAGCATGCAAAAAGGCAAAGCTATATTGGGTAAGAAAGATGCTGAAATACAATTGAAACACCAAAAACGAAAGGGAAAAAGTGGTGGAAAAATGATTAAAAGGCATAATAATGATATAAAATTATCAGAAAAAGTAAGTGATAACAAGTTTTATAATACAATAATCAATAATAAACATTGGAATAGATAAATAATATATGTAAATTTATCAAAAATGAAACTTATTCATATTTGTTAAATTACGTAAAACGTTTTATTCATAATAATCACAAGTCTTTTTTTATTTTTAAAATTAAAACTCATTAAAGAGAGAAAGAGAAATTAAGATATACCTAGAAGTAAAAAGTTGGAAATTTTGAAAAACTTTATTTTAGGAGTATGGACAAACAAACGGTGATTATCAATTCGAAGAAATTTACGGTAATTTTTTAGGAAAGCGCAATTAAAAATATCTTATTATGCTTTAAAACAATTTTCAAATTTTGTTTGAAATACCAAACCTGTATTGGTAATAAGGATCATAAAATGTACGAATCTGATCAAGTTGATTAAAATTCGTTGATTAAATGAAATACCTGATTGGAATGACTTGTTGAACTAAATGACACATCTGATCAGGATGACACGTTAATCTAAAAGACATAATTATTTAATTCGCTTTATGATCCATTTTAGAAGTAATGAGGTTAAATATTAGAGTTTTAAAATGTTATTATCGATAAATTCGCAATCAATTATTTATTATAGAAACGATAATTGAAAAAGGAATGAAAAAGTTTTAAAATTTAAAAATTTTACTTACACATATATATTTCATAGTAAATTTAATATGGAAACAATTTTTTATAATAATTTTAGATAGCTATAGTTTTTTGCATGATTTTTTAAATAGATCAAAATTTTTCTTGCTTAAATTTAAAATTTAATTTAGAATACGAAAGTCCGGTATCATCAATAAGACGAGCATTTCTTTTTCGCAACAGCATCAGGATTTTTGCTATCCATCCTTCATTTAGTATTTGGAATCATTTATCTCGAATGTTTGTTTCATTTTATTTACTTATCGTTTACTAATTACAATGATTCTTTGTAGGATTTGTTTATATTGAAACGAAAAAAAAAACAAGCTGATATGTAAATGCTTTCAATTAGTTTTTTTTAACTTTTATTAAGTCATAATTAGTAACCATTTATGTCAGAAGTGTTATCAGATTTTCTGCTTCTTTAAATTCTTAGATAAAGAATGCTAAAATTTAATTATCCATACATTTAAAATCCAGGTAATTCTAATTATAATGTTAAAAAATAAAAATTATTTTTAAATTTTCCTTTTATAATAAGCATTACTTGCAATAAATTTTGTAATTTTTTCATAAATGTCTCACTTGATCGGAATATTTTGAATCTTCTTTGATGAAGAAGATATGAAACTTCTGAACGTTGATGAAAAGTATGTTTGGTAATGACTAAATAGATTGTTGTTTTAAAATAAAGTATATAGATAATCTTACAATAACATATATAATCAATGAACTTAGTTAATTATTTGTTTGTTCACTGTTTTTTTCTTTTTTTCAGACAACAAAGAACTTAATTTCAAATTTGATTGAATGACTGAATGGAAATAATATCTTCATGAGAATATCTTTTGATATGAGTTTGTTTCATTGTTAAATCATACTGTTATGTCTTCTTTGCCATATTTGAATGATAAGAGTGAGTAAAATAAATTTTGTTAGCATAATGAAATTTATTGTTATTATAATAAATTTGGAATAAGAGATAATAAAAGAAAAAAAAAAGATTCCATTAAGCATCGCAAAAATATCCTTTCTGTGTTTTTTTTTTTTTTTGAAATTAACTATTTAACTCATTTCTTACTCATTCATTGGTTTCTTTCGAATTCCCTAGTGCTAATTAATTAAATTTGCCTTGGTGAATTATATAATGTTTTTGTGAATTACATAGTGATTGTGTTTTTGCATGTGCAAGTGAGCTCCACTTTTGTCTACTCTCATACACCGAGCACAACCAATTATATAATATTTTGAAGGGTTAAATTTACCTTGGCGAATTTAATTTACTAACGTTAGGTAATTTAAACTGTAAACCTGTAAACCACTCCCACCAAATATGCTGTTAATTAAAATTGTATATATACTCAAGGCTATATAATTAGATCATTACCTTTTCAAACACCTAACCAAGAACTGCACGCGTACATTGTATCCTCTACTCTCTTCAATAAATATTTTTGCTATTATTCTCTGCATTATTACAACCTGCTATCCCCTGCGAATTAATAACTTCCTCCTGAACCGAACAAAGAATACCTTCTCAGAATATTCGTCTGTGCTTAAGAACAAACCCTTCTGTCGTGGTTTTTTGTTAAAGTAATTTGCGGTCAGTCAATAATTGAAAACAAACAGAGGATTTTTTACACGTTGGTTGTATAGGAGAAGAATTGAGGTCACTTGAAGTATTTTTATTCACAATATATGTATCTTTTCCCTCAACAAATGCTGATTTTCACCTCAAATGTCTTCCTTCATTCATACTTAACTCAAACGATATGCTCGATGAGATGAAAATAGGAAGAAGTA